GCCTCATCACATAAAATTACTAAGAAAAGTCAGAATGGCCATGGGTCTGAAACATAAGCTACCATCAGAGGTTGCGAAGTGGGTAGACTACTTCTTCATATGGCCAATAGACATGGCTCTAGTGACTCGCTTAACAGGATGCGAATGCGAGGGCCTCAGTGGTCCGATTCCTTCACCTTTCAGATCGAATTGTGTGCACCTACTTACCAGTATACTGCTATACATCCGTCGTTTCTTGACAAACGAAACATCAAACCAATGAACTTCTTGGTCTATCGATTGCATCTTCGCCTTTGATGCCCTTCTAGACCAAAAAATTCAGTCGCGCAACGCGCACTTAATGTTATATGTTGCATTTAAAGTGCAGCCGCTACGGATATATCCTCCTTCTTATGGTAAACAACAAAGCTGGTGGGCAGTTTCCATTACCTTGCCTTCGAATGGACAATTTGACATGAGTGATGCAGACATGTGGCCCCATGTTACACTTAATCAATCACGAATGAATGAAACGTTTGCGTTCCAAAGAAGGGTTGGTGAGCGCCAGATCCATATGTTTATTGTCCTGAGCTCTCGAACTCTTACATTCCTTATCTCTGACGATGGACTTCTGTAAGAATTCGAAAGCTCAGGACAATAAGCAAGTTGATCCGGTGCTCAATAACCCCTCTTCCTCGTTCACTTAACCAATCAATGCGGAAGAGGTTGCGATCGGTGGAACAGGAATTCCATGGGCCTGACGTTTCGGATTCTTATTTGAACCAATCGCCAGAAACAGTTGCAAGTAAGGGTAATGGAGACACAAGAAGTGCGGTACTTGGAGTGCGTAGTTGCCATGCGACCACATGCGTACTATAATTAGCAACCTTCGCACTCACCGCTGGTGGTTGCAATTCATGCGATAATTGCTTGTCAGTCCGCGTCTTAGTCGTTAAGCCCGAGATATCATCATCCGTGTTGGATGCTGCTGTGATAATGACTCGGCATTATGGCTCGCCATCAATGCACTTGTTGGTCGCCCTCCACCCATGT